AAAGAGTGGGATAGGGTGACTTGTTTGGCTCCTGCTGTGTTTAGAAACTGACACCGTTACACCTGCGGGGAGGAATGGGTCCAGTTCCTTGCTGGAGGAGCAGGTGTGTTGTAAACACTGCAGCTCTCTTGGGGTGAATTGTTTTGGGTCTTAGCGACAGAACCATCACACTGAGAGGACAGTATCGGACTTTGAAAAAAGGGCATGGTTCACAGACCAAACACTTCCTGAATGATTTCTGTGATTAGGAGAATTCTAAGTGTCCAACAGGTAAATGTTCATTGACCTTTATTCACCCTATGGGCTCCATCCAGGAGGAAGATTAAAGCCAACACTACATACTTTCAATACAATCACATTCTTAGAAAAATAAGCCAAGAAAGTATGCTTTGAAAAAATAGTAGTGTTGCGGGCCTCATTTGACCGGCATGTCGATGCACCAACCCCACTGAGGGAAAGGGGACCCTGTCTTCAGCAGCCCCCTCACAGTCTTCCTCGGGAGCTCTGGGTACGTGAGCAGATTATATTCCCTGATCTTTTTCCTCTGGCAATCTTACCTGTCGATGTGAATTGCAAGATAGGGTGTCACAGTGGCTCTGTAGTGACTGAACTATCCCATTGCTCCTGGGAACATTCCCAGCGGGGATCCACAGCCCCCCCCCCACCGGGCCACCCCAGGAGGCTGCATCCTCAAATGCACTCTGAGTCCCCCGTCCATCTCCTGTGAGGGTTTCTACAGCCTAAAGTGTAAGACTGAACAAAAATATAAAACAGTTACACTCATTTAATCAGTAAAGCTATTAGTGATGACCAAAATGTCAACGTGACCTCATTTGACATAATTCACCTACTTCGATAAGCCCTTATTTTGAGGATTCATGAAAAGGCTTTGCTGAAGTCTGTTTCTGCTGCAAAATTTAGAAAAGATTAATTCTTTAAGGCTGCTCAGGGACTAGTTTATGTACTAGAACAGGGACTAGATCTTAAAACTACTAAATTATGTAAGCATCTAAAACTCACCAACTTTGACATTTCAGTGATTTTCAAATAATCTAAAAAAAAAAAAAAAAAAGAATTAATGCTCCTTCCTCTATCCATCCCTGCTTTCCTTATGGGAAGTAATTTAGGCTTTGAGGGAGAAAACCTATCAAATGAACTTAGAAAGGGGGCCATCAACATTATTCTCCAGGATGCTAATAGGAAGTGACCCGTCCAGTGGATCCATAACTTTGCAGACATGGAATTGATGCCCTGGGTTCTTCTCCACCGGCTCTTGATCTGATAAGTCATGAGGATTATAGTCTTTTCTGCGAGGGCATGTGTTGACCCAGGCAGCCTTTGGATTTGCCTGGTTGTTAATTTCTTCAGGTATTGGCATGCCAACTTTGGGAACAGTGGAGAATCAAAAACCACGTTTAATCAACCCAACTTCCCCTCCCATGGAATTTAAGCAAAATCAGGTTTTTAAAGCAAGACCAGATTTCTGGGTAGATACAAGGCTTGGAAATTGTCGTCTCATCATGTTAGTTTGTCTGGCATAAAAATGAACTTTTGCAAGAGAGGAATACTTTTGCAAGTGTGGGTCATTCCATCAGTAATATATGATTGTCGTGAATTTGCAGGTGACTGTGAGAGCAGTTGAGAGGCCACCTTCGGTGACAGTGTCCCCACCACTGACGCTTTCCCATCCCCTTCTCTCTGCCTCTCAAACGTCACCCAGCACCCAGTTAGCAGAGGTATGTCAGCAGCCCGGCTCTGGAGTGGAGACTCCTAATCTTGCCAGCTGCCACTGCTGGTGGGACATTATTCCCCGGAGTCTCACTCCAGGCTGTGGATACTGAGCACACATGGCTGCTTACATGTGAGCTGATCATGGCGTGGCATTCCAGAAATTCTGTAGGAAAGTCTGCATTGGAACCTACATTCCTG